GACTTAGGCATGCGCCTTTGAAGGAGACACAGGCATCTCCTTGCCAGCCCCCTACCACAATTTTGTCTTGTCAGACAGGATGTGTGTCGACTCGACGTTTCCTTCCTAGACCTGCCTGGGAAGTGAGTTGCTGAGATCGCACATTTCGCGACCATAACAAAACCTCTTGTTATAAATCAATTTCCATCTTCACTCAATTGAGTTATAGCCTGCATTGCCTTTTCCGTGGGGGGCCGAGGCCGCGCCCAGCGAGTACGACTTGATTGTGCTCAGGCTCAATTAGATTGCCCCGCATCCCCCCCTTGGCCAGTTTCGGCAGGCGGTCCCCAGGAGGAGGGAAGCTGCTCCGTCTGCGGGCGGCGCTGTGGAGCTGGGGATCTGCGCTGTGAGGCCTGCCCCTGCTCGACCCATCGTCGGTGCCTTGGAATCGCCCCAGGCGCCTACCCCGGTGGTTGGTACCGCTGCACCTCTTGCTTGCTTGCGGCGGCGGGTATCGGATCAGTGGCCCAGGGGAGTGTTACGGAGGAACTAGCATGGCTAGCCGTGGAGTTGCACGGCAGCGCGGTCGCAGACAGCTCTTCGGTCACTTATGAGTCGGGGCGGCGGCGCTTTGTGCGCTTCTGTACGGAGGTCGCAGGGGTGCCGGAGGCGGACGCCCTGCCCCGCCAGCGTGGGTCTGACCTCAATCGGGACCTGGTGTGTCTGTTCATAGCGCATGCAGTTGGCCGGTACGCGACCTCCACCGTCACCGGCACGCTGAGCGCCCTGGCGGACTGGCAGCGGTTCATGGGAGTCTCGCCAGAGGCATATATCAGCCGCGACCCGCTGGTCAAGCGAACCCTGGGCCAAGCGTTGCGAAGGTCGGCTGCGGGGCCGGAGTCGGCACCGTCCATGGCAAAGGCACCCTTGCCCCTGGGGGTGTTGAGGCTGCTCGTGGCGTGGCTACGGTGCAGGGCAAATGCGGAGCCGCGGAGGGCGTCGGAGTTCACACAGGACGCCTGCTGGTTGAATTTGGGGTTTTTCGGAATGCTCAGGAGGAGCGAGTTGGCAGCCCTGACAGTGGGCTGCGTTGAGGAGTTGCCGGGAGGGGGTGGGGGCTGCGGTGA